CTCCAAACAAGCCTGAGCAGATGGACAGAGAGCAGCGAGGGAAACAACAACTCAACAGGATTTGTTACGGTCACCTCTTATCTGCGCCCCGATAGCGTTCAGCACGCCAGGCTGCAGGGGGAAAACTGGCTGCCTGAAGGATGAAAATAAAAGCACAATAACTCACACTGGAAAGAAAAAACAAATGAGCATTTTAACCAGTTGTCCAAGTCAGCAGCTCCTCCTTGACCCCTCTGACTACACGGGGCTCAGACAAGTCCCTCCAGCTCCCCCACGAGCAAAAGTTACCACTTTGAAGCGTTTAGTGGAGATGTCAAAACCGCTTTCAAGCGCTGGTCTACACAGTAGTTTTGGGAGCTTTCTACCAGGGTAGTACTAGGGATTTTTAATGGCTTAATAGCGCCAGCATGATTTTTTTCTTGTCTGCTTGTCCTGCTGAGGGCTGAGTGAACGGTCAGCAAAATGCTTCTTTTACTGCACAAATACAGCAACTCCAACTGGTTAAGCCTCTCGCTCTGGATTGAAGCACCACAGGGAGGCCCAGGGAAAGTAATTCCCCAGTTTAAAGAAATATTTAAAGTTTTGTCTCAAACCTTCACCTTCTGATTTGCTCCGCTTTGGTGCTGTGATAAGGAAAGCCTGGGGTTTTTTTCTTCCTCTTTCAGCTGTCCCTATATCCCTATCAGTCATATTCTAACAGCTATGAATTTGCCATGCAAGAGACACAGGAATTCTTCTTACAATCCCCTTCACACGAGACCAGCCACAAGAGTGCACAGTGCAAGTTACGCGTCCAGACAGCGCCCAAAGGTGAAGTTTGTGTCACACTCTTGTGTTAGCAAAGACCAAAAGCAAGTCCCCAGGAGTCACAAACCCCAGCATCGCTACACCCAGCAGTAAGCTCTTACCTTAAAGCTGAGCTTCTGGCTCCATCTGCTGCCAGAAAGATGGAAAAAGCTGAAGCAGCAAAAGCCAAAAAAAAAAAAAAAGACATAACTAAGGCCTGTTTTTCTACTTAACTAATCCACTAATATTACTGTGAAAAGACAAACAAAACAGAGATTGCTTCATCATGGAAACTTCTAACAGGTTCAAGATGTGCAGCTCTTTACCAGGTCATGACCAACAGGCATTTGGGTCCTATTAAGTAAGTAAGTTATTTTGGTAATTTTTAACTTTAGAAAATACTGTTTGATGACATAAATACATGTTTTTGCAGCTGAAAAGAAGTCCGGATAAAGGATAATGTCATAAGCATGGTTCCAAGATTCTCAGGAGGTAAAGGGCAGAGGAAAAAAAAATACAAACCCGAAAACCTGCATCATACATTTTCCTGTCTCCCCACTGCTCACTGCGCTGCTCTTGCCTCTCAGTTTTTCACATGGTGCCTTAAAATCTTGGTTAACATTTATCCATAGACAGTGCAATATCTTTTTTATTGTGCCAGTGTATGTGTGTGTATATATATTTTTTTTTTTTTCCATGATCTCATGCCAAAAAACACTCACACTTCTTCTGCCAAAGCTCACGGGTGCCTGGCACAGCTGAGCATTATTTCTGCAAACAAAGCTTCCACTGAAGCCAAGGGCTGCCCTGGGTGCCCGAGGAATGCTGGTTTGGCTCCTGGGTGCTTAGGTTACCTCCCTGTGCTTGCACAGCGCTGAACCTGGAGTCACTCTTCATTTGGAAGAGCACTGCATGTACCTGGTGCGAAGAAACATCAGAAGCTACTTCGCAAAAAATATTTGCAGGCAGTATAATGCAGACAGATTCAGCCTTTACAGCCAAATGCTTCCAGCAACATTTTGTAGACACACACCTTTAGAAAATGCTATTGCTGTGTTGCTCTTGCCCAAGAAACCTGGATCCTCTGGATAGGCAATACAGATGTCTTTCAAGTACCGTTTAAAAAATAAATTTCAATTACTCTATCAAAAAGCATCACCAGAGAAACGCCATTTCCACAGTTGCATTTGTAATAATATAAAGTTTAAGAAGTACTCGAGAAATACTGGGAAAGTACAGAAAGGGCATTCCCTGAGCTGGCTTTTCTCGCTTCTTCACCTCTTAAATATATTATGCAAAACACAAACCCCTGGTATTTTATGAAATGTCTTACGTATTTTCTTTACACATTTCAGTGTGTATATGACACCAACTTGCAGATTATTTTCAGTTTGGCCTCCTTCAAATTCAGCTTTGCTCAGGACCAGCACTTGCCTGAGCTATAAGCACTTGAGCACTAAGTGGAACAAGTACAAACCCAAAAGCACTGAATTTCTGGCACTAAGCGGGTAAGGGCGCTTTAATTGTCTACATTTTTTTGGTAATAAAAGCCCTGAAGAAAATGTCTAAGGCTAATTAAGATCCCAGACAACAAAACCTGAGACTGATTTACAAGCCCATTAGTTATACAAGCAGCTCTATTGGAGAGGTTTAAGCAGTGCCACTGAAAACTGGCCAAATCCCAGTTCATGCTTGCCAGAAGGCAGAGAAAGACTTTCCATGATAAAGCAAACTTTTTTTTTTTTTGCACCCTCTTTGTCAAAATAGACAAGATATATCAAAGGCAGATGCCTTGTCCGATAGCCTATAATTTTGCCACTTTGCACACTGGGAGAGGAGGAGCTTTGAGATTTCCTGTGGCCATTTCAGCTCTTCCCACTGCCTCACTGACATCTGCTGAGCTGGTTTTTATTGTTGCTGAAGCAGGGGTTAACTGGTGACAGGCTCAGTATCTGGGATGAGAAGTCCTGGGTTCCTGTCTTCACTCCCAAAATAATAAAAGTAACTTGCTCTGGTATTGAACCGTAAGTAAACCAAGAAGTTTAAATGGAAAACTCATCGATTACCCAAATTAGGACAACTGATGATGACAATTTTTGACTTGTCATCAGATAGGCTATACATACCTTGATTTTTGTAAGGTTGCAAAGAAATTGGATTCATGAAGCAACAGGAAATCAGTCAGCAATGGTCGGCTTTAGAAAGAGAAAAAAAATCTCTCAAATTCTGAGCAGTCTTGGCCTAGCAAATCTGCAACCAGAAAGTGGGTTGGCCAAGATCAGAGCTCAAACTGACCGCCAGAAGCCAGAAATATTCTCAGGAATAGAAGATGAAAGTCAGTAGACCAGACCACAAGATCTTACATGCATGTAAATTGTGCTTATTACACAAACAAAACAACAAAAAAACCAGGGAAAACAGCTTCAAAGCTGCTCTTCAAAACAGTTTTGCACAAAAGGGAGTCGTGCTTATTACACAAACAAAACAACAAAAAAAACGGGGAAAACAGCTTCAAAGCTGCTCTTCAAAATGGTTTTGCACAAAAGGGAGTGTGGGAGCACAGGCTGAGAGATAAAAATAAGCTACTGCAGGAAAACCCAAACCGCAAGACCGGGGCATGAGTGCCAGCGCAGCGTACGAGGCATGTGATCAAGTCGAGCTCAGCTGAGCATCAGAGAGGGCACAGGCAGAGCAGGGAACAGCAACAATGACGACGGGCTCTCGAAAACGTTACCTCTCAGGAAAGAAATAAAATTTTAACTAGAGAAGGAGCAATGGCTGAAACGAGAGCAGTGGCAAACTTCTGGTGTGTAAAAGGCTGTTGCATAGAAGGAAAACCACCTATTCTCTGGGGCCTGAGGGACCCTATAAACAGGCAGAAAGAGAGGCAGAGGGAGAACACGGCAGGAGATTTGCTAACAGTAAGGACAGGCAAGTGCTGAACCAAAGACTGAAGTCTTTGCCCTACAGCCCAGCCAGGCAACAGTAATGTCCTTGGTGCTTGCCAGCCCTACTGCTCTACCAAAGTAAACTTTGGGCTGACAAGGGTTCTTTTGGGTTTACCTTTTGGTCTCAGCAAACGCTGTTTAGATTCTTTCAGCTATTTCACTCCTTTCCAATCCGATTACACAAGCACAGCTTTCAGAAATGCCAAACTCCCCAGGCAGGTTTTTTTCTTAGTCCTAAGACTGACAGGCACAGTGACACGTTATCCCCTGCAACAATGAGACCTTTCCAAACTGAAAACAGTTGTACTTCATCCAGATCTACTCCTTCCTTCTCACCCAACACAAGCTAGGGTAAACAGTTCTGTGACCCTACCCAGCAGATCAGTTCATTCCCATAAACTAAGTTGCCTTTTAAATACCCAGGGATTATTTATCGCTTCCAATTACAAACATGTGACTGCATTTAACTCCTATGCTTGGCAAAGGGAACAATTTGTATTAAGAGCAATTAATCAGTTGTATGAGTTGCACATTAACTTCTTTTCTTTTTAATGCAAGGCATGTTTTCATATAAACATCCAGATTACAGAAAGTCTTATCACCGCAAAAAACAAGTCTATACAGTCAGATCTATTTTATAAGATTGCGAAGCCAAACACTGAGACCAGGCTTGAAAACAGCATCTCTTATACAATCAAAATATTGTACATACAGAACACAGCTCAGGGCTTGTCAGACTCACCAGTGTAACACCCACTTCGTCAAACGTTCAGCATTTTAAGATTTTTCTAGCTACAAACGAGAAACAGAAATCCATCCATAAATGACAAGTGCTTCCATCCTACAGGCATCTCACCAAGGGGCAAAAATGCCAAAACGCGCTCTTTTGGAGAGTGATATGCGAGTGCAAGACCGCTCTTACTAAAATACATATAAATTACACTTTAAACTTTGGCCAAGATTTTCAACAATTAAACAGATTTCTGCAGAGATCTCCCCTCAGACAGAGTTAACTGCTCAGTAAGCACATGACTAGATGAACAGAACCTCACCACTGCATTGCCAAGTATCCCAAGACTGGAAACTTGCTAAAATCATTATTTTCTTCAGAGCCATTATAATTTAAAGACATAGCTACACTTTAAGAGTCAAATCCTCTCGAGATAAAAGGAATGAGAGATGCTTGCTTCAAGAGCAGGCCTCCATCACAGATGTTTCAACACACCACCTCAGATCAGCCAGCAGAGATACGTTAAAGCCACGGGTTCAGAAAGACAGAATGGTCTTATGAATGATTTCAATGCATTCTCTGATTTCGTCCTCCTTAATCACGAGCGGCGGCGCCAGCCGGATGATATCGCCATGCGTAGGTTTGGCAAGGAGTCCGTTATCCCGAAGCCGCAAGCACACCTTCCAAGCATCGTAGTCTGTATCGAAGGGAAAAAAGAAAAAGAAGACACTTGGAAAAAGCTACACAACTGCGGCATGTGGTGTGTGGGGCCAGATTTGACACCCGGCAGTGAAAAGCTGAAGCTCGTTGAAGGGGTCACTCCTGAGCATCTGAGCAGCTCCCCAGAACTTGCAAGAGTGCTGCAAAGCTGCAGTTTGTCTGAAGGGCCTCACAAGTTTGCCTCCAGCGCACCAAGTTCTGCTCCCTCACGGGTGAGTGCTTGTCTAGGTGCAGCAATAAATTCCAAACGTGCAAAGGGGAGGTAAGGGAACATCTGCATAGGACTTCAGACGAAGTTACATTTACACCTGGACTTCAGGACATCACGTGCGCGTCTTAGGAAATTACAAGACCACTCTGCAGTGCTTCACCTGGACTTCAGGACATCACGTGCGCGTCTCAGGAAATTACAAGACCGCTCTGCAGTGCTCTATCATTCAGGTGTATTCATGACAAGAATAATTGTCTGCTCCGGCTTCTAAGCCATTTTCCAATATAATTCAAAGTGTTAATCCCTAGAAACTTGTTCTCAGTCATTAGCTCTTTCCTTTCCTGCACCCTCCTGCACTTAGAATCATAGAATCATAGAACAATTCCGGTTGGAAAAGACCCTTGGGATCATCAAGTCAAACCTTTGACCCTACACTACGAGGTCACCCCTTGCTGTACTCCTCTAACTGCCCTGGAAACAACCAACCTCGGTCAGTCCTTCCACAACCTGACAGAAACTAGTGTCCCAGATGTGCCCCGTTTTCTTTCAATGAGGAGACAAAAGGGTACTTGGTGGGAGCTACATTCACCATCAGGCTTGAATATTATCAAATCACAGAAGTATTCAAACTATTAAAAAAAAACTTGTTCAGACTTAGTAAAAAAAGAGAAAAAAAAAGCAACTTATTTTTTAATAGCACAGTCATTTAAGTAAGCTTTCAGTCGGTAATACAGTACCACAGCTGAGATCTGAACCCAGACATGAAGCCTGTATAAGCCATCCCCCTACTCCATTAAGATACTTTCAGTTTAAGTTGAAGTACCTGCAGTTGATTGTACGTCCTTACCTTTGGTTTCACGAATTACAATTGCATTTAATAGTCCTTTTCCTCTCACGGAAGTTACAATATCAGACGGTGTTTTCATGAGCTCGTTTCTTAGTATGTTACCCATTATTTCTGCATTTTTAATCAAGTTTTCCTCTTCAATTACCTAAAGGGAAGTCAGATCTACAGTCAGCTGAAGGGCACTGTATTTGTTTTACGTACCGTGCCGAAACAGATGACTAACGACATTACAATTGCTGAGATACAAAAGCTATCGCATCCGAAGAGTCACTGCAACGGCTGCATATCCGAGCAGATTAGTATTAAGCCTTTACTTGCTCCTGTGTACAAGAAACAATAATCTCTTTGA